GACTTGTTACCAACTTTTAGCAAGAAAATACTTTTTTGTAGTTAACTCTTCCGAAAACCCAGCTGGTGTATAGGGTCACGCCAGGGGTGTGTTCATTCAGTCCTTGGCCTCTTATCTGAAACTTCAACAAGGGTATCAATTGGTATCACTTTCGGTGATTTGAGACTTGGGTTTTTTGCTAAAACCGGGGATGGAGAGAGACTATTGACTGACTTCATCAAGGTAGGCAGATACTGAACAGTAACCAATTGGGAGAAAGATCGGGGGCATCACTCAAAATACAATCTTTGCCTATCCCAACCTACTCCACAACTTTCTTCTCCCTCCACGTGTATGTTTCTCAAGGTCACTAATAAATGCTGACTACATCTTTCAGTGGATGTGGGAAGGGAAAGCGAATTGCCACTCAAATGTGCTCATTTACTTTTCTCCCCTCTCTATCAGCAAGGTAGCCATTTTTAAAAAAGAGACTATGACATGCACTCACGAAAGGAACCGTGAATAGATGTGTTCTGTTTCTTAAATTTTACTTTTAATATTTACTGCAGCCTGGTCCATGTGTGGATTATATCACAATTCAAGACCTATGATGTAGCAGTTTTTTTTTTTAAATATTGAAAAATATCATTGACCAAATATCACTGAGCTATTGTCTGCTAAAATTTAAAAGTAAACTTAAATTAGAAGTCATGCTTCTTTAGAAGCTTTAAAGAATCAAGGATTCTCCAGTTCCTCTCCTCAGTTGTGCTAAGTGTTCCTATTAAACTATAGCCTGAAGAGTTCAGATATCAGAAAACATGGAAACCAGAGTGTTTAAGCTGTTGAAGGCCTGGAAGAAATGACTTTAACATCTAATTTTGAGGAAATCTAAAGTCATTCCTACTGTGCTGGGTCTATCTTGGCTATGTACAGCTGCACTATAAATAGAGTACTGGATCATTAAACAGCAAAAGAAAAGATCAACCTGGTGTCATTATGGCCAAATATGCTGATGGGTTAGGTTTTTCAAGTAAAATAAGAAACCTGTTTCTTAACACTTCATAGTGATATTTAATGATTAAATCTTCAAACCATTGTATGAACATTCACCAGTTAATCTTTCCAACGTCCCTGGGAGGTAGGTGACTTATTATCCACATTTCACATTTGGGACACTGAGTGGAAGAGGTTAAGGGACCAGGTCAGGCCACAGAAGGTGTTCATGCAAAGAGCTAGGATTCAAATTTAGGAGCCCCATGCTCAGATAAATGTTAGTTTTTACGTGCAGTTCTGTTTTGACTGGCACAATTTGAACTCTTGGTTTTTGTTGCCTGGGACAAGAAGTGCTCTTGTCTGAAATGTAGTTGGAGACCAAGTATTGCATTCACAATGATTCACTGCTATTCTTTTTTCTACTAAAGTTGCTGTGCAGAGGGCACCTCTTTTTCCTCTTCTGCTGCATTTAGCTGCTCTGTTCCCAGAATTAGGCCGCATCATTGTAATGTAAGCAGTGTAGCTGCTCTTTGTCACCAGGAGAGAGCTCTCCAGACAACATAATAAAACCAGCCCCAAATGAGGGGCCATAGCTTCATCGCCGAGAGAGTGTCTCCCGCCGACGAAGCACTGTGCATTTTGTCATTAAAAGTTTTAACGACATAAGTGCAGTGTAGACATAGCCTTAGCTGTATAGTAGGGGAGGCAGTGGAGCCTGGAAGGCTGAAGAGGGGAGGCAGACAAGTTTCAATTGTTCATATGGGAAAGGGATTGTCAGGTAAGAGAGGAGGCAGAAGAACTGTGGTGTGAGAATCAAAAACTGCTTGGGGGGAATTGGTTGTGCTTTTAGGTACTCTGGCATGCTAATGTGTTGAGCATTAACTGGGCCTCAGATCCTGCTGGTGCTCACTAAAGTTTCCCTAATGTGCTTTAATGTAGTATTGTTTCAAACAGCACTATGTTAAAGCACACCAGCAGAGCAATTAGTGCAGAGAAAGTTAGTGCACTTTAGAAGTCACACCCATGTAGTGTGCGTTGCCCCACCCTGTAGGGGCCTCTTCTGGGAAACTGAAACAGGGCTATCAAGGAATTATGAGCCATGAATAGCCCTATCATGATGGAACAATGGGTGCTTAACTATTAACAGCCTTCATTGTTGGAGAATGGAAAACCCCAACAAAAGGAAGAATCAGAAAAAAACTGTCAGACTGCTTTACTAGGAGGAGGCCATTCCACCACAGAAACACAAGACTCAGCTGAAGGAACTGGGCCACAGAAGAGCCTTGCCGTCTCCCTAAAGAAAAGTCCTACAAATAGTGGAAACTAGGTCAAATTACAAAGGATGAATATAAACAAATAACACAGTATGTAGGGACAAAATCAGAAAGGCCAAGGCACAAAACGAGATCAAACTAGCTAGCGACGTTAAGGGTAACAAGAAAACATTCTACAAATACATTAGAAGCAAAAGGAAGACCAAGGACAGGGTAGGACCATTAATGGTCGGGGGGGTGGGAGGGTATAAAAATGGAAAATGTGGAAATGGCAGAAGTGCTTAATGACTTCTTTGTTTCGGTTTTCACCAAGATTGGTGGTGATTGGACGTCTAACAGTGAATGTCAGTAAAAATGAGGTAGGGTCAGAGGCTAAAATAGGAAAAGAACAAGTTAAAAATTACTTAGACAAATTAGAGGTCTTCAAGTCACCAGGGCCTGATGAAATGCAAGGAGCTGACCGAGGAGATATCTGAGCCATTAGCGATGATCTTTGAACAGTCATGGAAGACTGGAGAGATTCCAGAAATCTGACTGGAAAAGGGAAAACTTTAACTGTTAGGTGGTATAAACTGAAGTACCCAGGAGAGTGAGGTTCTGGGAAGAGTGTGCGTGGGCTTCTAAAAGAATTTGGTGGTTCAGCAGATAGCTGAGGGTAGTTTGATTGCAGGGTCCAACTTCCCAAGGAGTAGTGCCAGATGGGAATGCTTGAGAGGGCAGAAATAGAAACACTGGAAACATGCAGTTGGTTTGGAAGCACATGGGATCCAAAATTTGGGGCCCAAATCAGCAGACGGTCCAAGTGGGGATTCAGCCAGGGCTGTAACAAATGTATTACCAAAGCTAAGCTACAGTTAATATTAAACTAAAAATAAAACATAACTGAGTAGGAGCTGGAACTGTAGTCCAGGAACCAGATGGTGAACTGCTTGCACAGCACTTCTTGCTAGTGGGCCTCCTTCGGGTCCAAGGAAAGACTTGGGATGCTTTAGAGGATGTCCAAGAAAGTTTACAGTAGGCACTTAAGGGATAATATGCTCCCAACTGAAGTTTTCCTTCGCCTCACCCTCGTAATTAGAGGTTGGCTTTAGCCCAGGATTTTATATAAATGTCCAATTCCTTTTTAAATCCTACTAAGTTCTTGGTTTCAATATCCTGTTGCAGTGAGGTGCATAGTACATATGCATTGTGTGTGGGGTGTGGGAATTAATTTCAGCTCTGAATTTGCCAATTTTTCATTTCATTGAGTTTTAATTAGTTTTTGTATTCTGTGACAGTGAAGACCATCATATGAGTGTTTTGCAGCTTAATTAGTTTGTTTATTAAGTGCTTTAAGAACGCAGGGTGAAAGGTATGCCAGAAGTACCTTATTTAATTGATGTAGTTTTCTAGTGCTATTTCCAGTTTCTTAATTTGGTACCCAAATGGTTTGAGAAGCCTGACTCTTTCATCGTATATACAAATTTTTGTGTGTTAATGATTGGAATGAAGTTTTTTATTTAAACGAAGCTAGAAGTTCGTTACACTGGCACATGTCCTTATATTGTAACTTGTCCAGGTAGCACTTAGAGCTCCAAATCTTGCTCTTGAGAGGCACATACTATGCCCACTTCCTGATGCTTTTAGGTTGCACCTGTTTATTTTTGGAGTCTATATATTATTATTTATATATTTATTTTTAATATTTAGTTCTTCTGCTTATTTCCAGATTAGCAGATGGCGGCACAATGTGTAACAAAGGTGGAGCTGACCATCTCCTGCAACAATCTCCTGGATAAAGATGTTGGTTCAAAGTCAGACCCTCTGTGTGTACTTCTCCATAATACAAGTGGGCAGCAATGGTATGAGGTAGAGTATTACGCTTTTTCCTAGAATATTCTTAAAGTACAGTCTGGCTGAATATTTCTAACAATGAAAATAGTGAGGTACTAGAGTTACTTTCAATAGTTCTTATGACTTATCACCTCTACTAGATGCTTCGGCCCAGAGAGAGAGAGTGTGTGTGTGTGTGTGTGTGTGTGTGTGTGTGTATCCATCAGACGTGTAACCTGCTATGGAGCTGCACCGTGCGAGTATTAATTTTGTTTTATCTAAGCTCTTATAATATCTGACGCTATGGCTACACTACATCTTAAGTTGGTATAAGTTATGTTGCTCAGGTGTGAATAAGCCACCCCCTGAGCAACATAAGTTTCACCTACCTAAGCACTGGTGTGGACAGCGCTATGTCAGCAGAAGAGCTTCTCCTGCCAACATAGCTACCATTGCTTGTGGGGGCTGAAGTAATTCAGTCGATGGGAGAGTTCTCTCCTGTTGGCATAGAGTGTCTGCACTGATAGAGCAGCTACACTGGTGCAGCTGTGCTGCTGTAAGCTCTGTGGTGTACCCATAGCTTAAGTGTAATTTCCTGGGGGGCCTGCTCTCTGCAGAGAGTAGATGGGCAGGCAGCAGGCCTTTTGGTGTACTGGAGGACCTAACACAGAAGCAGCAACTGCTGTGTCGTCTAATGGAGTAGTGTGTGCTTGCCCCCAAAACTGCTAGTGTTGCCCTTTCTAATGATTTGATGTCTTCCTAGTCTCTCATTGTTTCCTTTTGTCCAATGTAATGATTTCATCAGGACTATTAGGTTTTTCAAATGTTATTTCTGAGTTCATCTCTCCCAGCCTTCACTTTGGACAAAATGTTAAGTTTTATTTATGAAATGTCCAGAAGTGACTATATTTCATTGGTGGGAAAACTGATCCTTAAATATGCCTTGTCTACCACACATGGATTTTGTAAAATGTAGTTTGTAAAGTACTTTGTACTAGGATGAAAGGAGTTCAGAAGTGCATATTAGTCTACTTGCACCTAGCAGGGCTCTTGGAAGCCTAGCATGAGCAATGAATCGATTTGGCCACCTGCATAGTTGTATGAGCCAGTTGATGAACATCTTGGTAATGTGACTTTTCTATCTGCAGGTTGATCGCACAGAAAGGGTTAAGAATTCCTTGAACCCAAAGTTCGCCAAGAGGTTCCTAATTGATTACTACTTTGAACTGGTTCAGAAGTTTAAATTTGGGATTTATGACATTGACAACAAAACCATTGATCTAAGTGATGATGACTTCCTGGGAGAATTTGAATGCACTCTGGGACAAGTGAGTTCAAACCGTGCCTGAGCTTGTACTACAGGGGATATGTTTGCGACTGGTTACTCCCTGCCTCCCAGGGTGCCACCTGTACTGGGGTACCACTGAGCCCACCTGTTCCACCAGCCTGGGCTTCCTTACACTGTCCTGCTGAGCCAGGCCTTCAAGCCTCCTCCAGCACACACAGGTAGGGACACACCCAGCTGCAGAAAGAGACAGACACTGAAATCAACACTGCATGGGAAGGCTTCAGCTAAGGAATGACCCAGCACTAAAGTGCACACCCCCTCTGGAGTGTAAACCCAAAATTGCATCGTCTTGCACTGCACAGAGTATTGTACAGCGTAAGCTCATGAAATTTGCTCCCTCCTTAAATACGGAGGAAGATGTGCACAGCTTTTTGCCCCCTCAGTTATGAATTCCACAAACTGATTTTAGAGAGAACAAAAACAAGTTTATTAACTACAAAAGAGAGATTTTAAGCGATTATAAGGGTTAGCAAACAGATCAAAGCAGATTACTGAGCAAATAAAATAAACTCGCAAACTAAGCTTAATACACTAAAGAAACTGGTTACAAGTAGTAATTTCTCACCCTAAATGTTGCTTTAGTCAGATTGCAGAGGTTCTTGAAGGCAAGCTGCTCTTGCTTGCAGCTTAAAACTCCAGGTATTTCTTTCACAGGTCAGACACCTTTTCTAGCCTGGGCTCAGTCCTTCTCTTCCCCACCCCCGCCTTTGTCCTTGTTTCTTAGAACTAGTCACACTGGCAACGCTAAAGCACTGCCGCGACAGCGCTTTAACGTAGCGTGTGTGGTCGCGGCAAAGCGCTGGGAGAGAGCTCTCCCAGTACTCTTTTTAAAAAAAAACAAAAAAAAACAAAAAAACCCCACCTCCACGAGGGGCATAGCTCTCAGCACTGGGGACACTGTCCACGCTGGTGCTTTACAGCGCTGCAACTTGCTGTGCTCAGGGGTGTGTGTTTTCACACCCCTGAGCAAAGAAAGTTGCAGTGATGTAAATTGCCAGTGTAGACAAGCCCTTTGTTTCCTACCATTATCCTGGGCGGGGATTCAGTGAAGAACAAACCCTGATTATGTCCCTCCCCTGCCTTAAATAGATTTTACATATGGCAGGAATACTTTGTTTTCCAGTGTGGTTCCTTCCTCTTCCCTCTTCCCCCCCCCCCCCACCGTGAAAAAATACTGATATTCTAACATGGAGACCAGTACCAAGTTACATGATCACATGACCCGGTAGTGTCAAAGCAGCCATAAGTCAAAGGCCTTTGTAGCATCCCAGGAAGGTGGGAGATTAGCATCTTCAAAGACCCATTGTTCTCCCTAATGGTCCATTGACTTGTCCCCAGCTAGCCAGCCAGACTGATTGCATTCTGTCTTCTGATGGGCATTCCCCAGGCACTGGAAACACTCTTTTGTAGTACAGATGTATAGTCAGTATTCCTAACTTTAAATACAAAAATGATACCTGCATACAAATAGGGTAATCACATTCAGCAAATCATAACCTTTCTAATGATATCTTACATGCCGTATCTTGCACAAAACATATAGTTATGCTATAATCACATTATAACAATATTTCTATGAAGAATATGAGGTGTAGTGTCACAATGTTATTACCCACTTTGATTTCTACTAAAACTATGTAATAGTAAGCTTATGTTAAGCTGTGCCTCTTTTATACATATTGACCTATAACCATGCTCATATGAGGGGATAGCACTCTTAAGTGAAGAATAGGTGTCTCTGCTAATTTGTTGACACTTAAAATGCTGCAGCTGCTTACTTATGTCGACTAGAGGAGTTCTCCAGTTTCAGGGAGGTGGATTATCTACTCAGAGGCAGTAGTTAGGTCAATGGGAGAATTCTCCCATCGACCTAGCACTGTTTACACCGGGAGTTAGGTCAGTTTAACCGCATCGCTCAAGTGTGTGGATTTTTCACTAATTTCCTAGTGTAGACCAAGCGTAAGAGTCTCTGCGAATTTGTTTTTGTCTCAGTTCAGCACATAAGATCATTCTGTGAGCAGTCGTCTTGAGGTTTTGTCTAATGTATGCTAGTCACTGTAGAATATGAGAGAGAATATGCTATCTCTATCACAAGCGGGTGAGATAATATCTTTTATCAAACCAACTTCTGTTGGTGAGAGAGACCAGATTTTGAGCTCTTCTTCAGGTCTGGGAAATGTGTCAATACAAGATGGTACAGATTGTTTAGCATGAGTAGTTAACACACATTTCAAGGGATCATTCAAGTGACCTATTAACACTTCTCTAGTCGTGGCCGGGGGCGGGGGCAGGGTCGCCCAGAGAGGGGGACAAGTGGGGCGATTTGCCAGGGGCCCCGCGAGCCCTGGCCCGGCGGCGGGTCCTTCAGTGCCGCTGAAGATGCGGAGCGACTGAAGGGTCCCCCGCCGCCGAAATGCCACCAAAGACCCGGACCGCTGCCGGGTGAGTACAAGCGCTGCAGCTCCCCCACTTTGCTCCAGGCCCCCTGAATCCTCTGGGCGGCCCTGGGGAGGGGAGGGGGGAGAGGCTGAGGGGAAGGGTTTAAGTGAGTTATAGATTGTTCTAAGAAGCCATAAATCCAGGATCTCTATTCAGTCCGTGCTTTTCAGTATTTAGCAAAGCTGTGAAATTAAGCTCTCGGGCCGAACTTTAGAAGGTTTTGTTCAGATTTCTCTTGAGAATAAGGACTGAGAGGTCAGATATCGAGTGATCGCTTTGTGAAAAGTGTTCACCCAAAGTGATAAGGTACTTCTGTTTTTTATCATTTTTCTGCGTGAGTTGATTCAAGAGCATAGTGATTCTCTGGTTTCACCCACATAGTTGTTGTTGGGGCATTTAGTGCATTTGAGGAGGTGTACACCTCATGTTGTGTTAGGCATGTGAAGGATCCATGGATCTTAACACCCCCCACCCCCTCACAACACACGGTTTCGATAATGCTAGCAGTGGAGATATGTCTTCAGCTTTTGCATCTGTTGTTGTTGCAGGGTCTGGCGCCACTTTCAGTTGGCGTGTCCTGGTATTTGGGGAGCTTGCTTTTGATAATGAGCTTGGAGGGTGTGGGGGATTGTTTGAAGGCCAGAAGTAGGGGTTCAGAAAAGATTTCTTTTAGAATGTGGTTCGAGTATGTGTTGTGATTATCTGATAACCCATATTGGTACCAATGTGGGGTGATAGGTGACAACTAGGCGTGTGTGGTCAGAGGATGTTTTAATTCTGTATTGAAGCAGGTTCTGCTGTTGGGTTATTTGGGTGGCCCATTACATAAAGTGATCTAATTCTCTGAGTGTCCTTGTTTGGTGAAGGCAGTTTTAAGTGGGTTTATCCCAAACTTTCTCCTGTGAGCATATTCTGTGGTATCTAAGTGCCTGGCTGTAGATAACATTTCTTGGTATGTTTGGGGTGGTTACTGGACCTCTGAAGGTAGGTGTGGTGATCCATGGGTTTTTTTTTATATTGTCTGTAGGATTCCATTGTCGAAGCTGATCTTGGTGTCCAGGAAGTTGTTGCTAGTGTGGGCATGTTTTAGAGAGACTTTTATGTGTTGGTGGTAGTTGCTGAAGTTGTGGTGAAAACCTGAGGTAGTTTAGGTGTCTGTCCAGAGGATGAAAATATCATCTATGTATCTCAGGTATCTCATTGGTTTCTTGCTTGTGTTTGTCCAGAAATTCTTCTTCAAGGCAGCCCATGAAAAGGTTGGCATATTGGGGAGCCATCCTAGTACCCATGGCTGTAGTTACGCAGATTTCTTTATAGAGGTGGACTAGGAATAAATGAGAAATGATAGTTAGTCACTGCCATCCAGAATACCCAAATGCTTGTAGAGTCCAAACTGCTGTTGCCATAACATGCCACTTGAGCTATTAAGTCAGGCTCTATAGAAAATCCTATAATAGCTATAAATCAATTCCTTAAAGCATTGTATGTTTTCTGAAACTTTTATCGGTGTAGCAGCAGCCTGATACTCTTCCTTTCTGTGAGATCAAAAACAAGATCATGTGGCATGATTGCAAAACATTACAAACATCAATAAATTATATGAATTGCTAATTTTGAAGGGTTTTTTAATAAGACATCAGATTCCAGTGCATCTGAGCTAATTTAGCAGATCCGATTCTGGGATTAGAGGGAGGACAATAATCTCAAGTATTTTTAGAAAAACTCAAGTATCTTATCTACCTACAGCAAGAACTCCTTCTCTGCACTTGGTAATTTGCATAGATAACGGAGAGTGATAGAATACATTTAATTTAACGGAGAGTGATAGAATACATGCATAGATAACGGAGCATCTAATTGGAGAGTGAAACTATGGAATTCAAAGTTGCCGGCTTTTCTACTCAAGCTTCTTCTAGAAGGAAAGTTTAGAGATTCCAAGATGGAGAAACTAACAGCTCATTGCTGAAAGTTATTTATGAAGGTTCTTGTTGCTCTTATTACGGTTTGCTTCAGTGAGAGACAAAGAAAAGTAAATTGTCTTCCTAAAAGGCCTTGTCTTCCTGTTTAATGTTGTTACCCAATGCAGTTTGTTCTGTGTTTGAGATAAAATTATGAAAAGAATCTTTTTGAAAGAAGTTTGGTGTCTCGTGTCTCCTCACATTCTTTTAAAAGATCCGTCTCCTCCCCCCTCGACCCTCCCGCCCCCCCACTCCCCAAAAGGGGAACGGAGTTCTAGTAGAAGTTCAACCTGAAATTCTGAATGTAGGTAAAATAACAAAATAAAACATAAACATACAGTGTATCTTTTAGGCCTGCATATAAAACAAAAATGTACTTTTTCAGCAATCTGATTGCTTAAATTATTTGCCATATGTATAAATCTAAATGCAATGTGTCAAGAACTAAGGGATAGCCTAGTCTCTCAATTTCAGGCATCCTCCCTGCCATATATATATGTATCATGTCAGATACAAGCCACCTTTAGCAGCTCTTCAGGGAAAGTCCTTATTCTACTATTGAAATTATTAGTATGAAGGATTTCTTGTTTATCTTAACTTATTTACTTCTGTCATTAGTCAAAGTTGCATATAGGTTCATATCTTTAAATATTATCCAAACGTATTGAAGGCTATAAGAAATAAAAGTGATGCTGGAGTTCTCATGGTAGAATATTTTCCTAAAATGGAACATGCAACACCACCTGTTTCTTTCAATGTGAAAAACTGTTAATTGTCAAGAGCTATTACTACTATTTAACTTTTTGTTTTGACAGATCGTCTCCAGCAAGACGCTGACAAGACCATTAATGTTTAAAAATGGTAAACCTGCAGGGAAAGGAAGCATTACGGTAGGATGATACTTGGCTTTCTCCTTCTAGCATATAGCCCACAAGTTGTTTCTCTTACTGAGTTAAATGTATTCTATCACATCATAATAACGGGAATATTTCTTTCACAGATGGCTGTTTGCATCTTTCAATGTACAAAACAGTACTTCTGTGTTAATCTAACTTATCAAAATCAAATGGTCTTCAGAGGCTCAAATAATGACTTAATCAGTTTCAAATAAACTCAAGTGGTGAACTTTTATTTATTTATTTATTTATTTATTTATTTATTTATTTATTTTTAACAACAAAAATCAAATTGCTTCTTTCAGTTTCTTATCCCTCAGGTCCTGAGCAAATGTGGACTCTTGTTAATTTTTATTTTCTTCCCAAATTATTTTACTTTCATCTCAAGCTGCATCCTACATAAACAGAATTAGGATAGAAGTCTAATGAAGTGTCATTATTCCAGTGTGGTAACTAGATAAATGGCTAATATTTAGTGGTAATCAAAGTAGGTGTGTCTAGAGCTTTACAAATAATTAAGGCGGTCTGTGTGTCCTGAGCAATATATCATCTTTTTGGCAGAGAATAGCAAGGGGTTACACCAAATGGGTAACTAGATAATGGAATTGAGACACAAACATTAACATTCCTGATCTTTACTGGTTTTTCTGTAATAATAGGTCTATTTAAAGTTACCTATCTTTAGGGCTACTTTGCAGTTTTATTATTGCTTTAGCTGTTAGGTTAATGAGCAAACACTAGCATATATACAATTACTGGGTTGTCAAGCAGTGAGTGGTAGAACTGTAGATTTGGCAACTAATAAGAATATAAGCAACAACCATGCTGGCATTAACTGGATGGAGAGCACATTAATGATCTTTATTTTTGGGGTCAGTTTTTTTTGCAGCATCAGTAGGGGCTGTACTATGGTGGCTAGAGATATTCAGTTAATATAGACTCTAAGGCCAGAAGGGAATCTCATGATCGTTTAGTCTGACCACCTGCACTTCACAGGTCACAGAACTTCACCCACCCACTCCTGTAATAGACCCCTGGCTGAGTTACTGAAATTCTCAAATCTTGAGTTAAAGACTTCAAGTTACAGAGAATCTACCATCTACTGTAGTTCAAACCAGCAAGTTACCATACCCCATGCTGCAGAAGAAGGCAAAGCTCCCCCCCCTCCTCCCCCCTCCCCAGGACCTCTGCTAATCTGACCTAGGGGAAAATTCTTTCTTGACCCCAAATATGATGGTCTGTTAGACCTTGAGCATATGGGCGAGCCCCACCAGCCAAACACCCAGGAAAGAATTTTCTGTAGTTACTCAGAGCCCTCCCTGTCTAGTGTCCTATCTCCAGCCATTGGGGATATTTGCTAATAGCAGCTGCAGATATGCTGTGTGCCATTGTAGGCAGTCTCATTATACTATACACTCTATAAACTTATTAAGCTCAGTCTTGAAACAAGTTTTTGCCCTCACTACTCCCCTTGGAAGGCTGTTCCAGAACTTCACTTCTCTGATGGTTAAGACCTTCATCTAATTTCAAGCCTAACCTTATTGATGGCCAGTTTATATCCATTTGTTCTTGTGCCAGCTTTGGCCCTTAACTTCTCTCCTTCCCCGGTGTTTATCCATCTAATGTATTTATAGAAAGCAGTCATCTCCCCATAGCCTTCATTTGGTTAAGCTAAACAAGCCAAGGTCCTTAAATCTCCTCTTGTAAGGTAAGTTCTCCATTCCTCTGATCATCCTAGTAGCTCTTCTTTGCACCTGTTCAAGTTTGAATTAATCTTAAACGTGGAAGATCAGAATTTCACACAGTATTCCAGTTGAGATTTCACCAGTGCCTTGTATAATGGTAATAACACTTTCCTGTCACTACTAAAAATACCTTGGCTGATGCATCCTAGGATTGCATTAGTCTTTTTCACTGCCACATCACATTGGTGGCTCATAGTCGTTCTGCAATTGACCAATACACCCAGGTCATTCTCCTTCTCTGTTACATCCATCTGATATGTCCCCAGCTTATAGTAAAAATTCATGTATTTAAGGATTAACAACAAGAGCTTTCACTTCGCACTATTAAATTTAATCCCATTTCTATTGCTCCAGTTTTCAAGGTCCTCCAAGTCGTCTTGTATGATATTCTGGTCCTCCTCCATATGAGTAATACCTCCCAACATTGTAATTTTATTCTCACACGCCTGCTTTTTTTGTGCCAAGGTCGTTAATTAAAATGTTAAATTAGATTGATCACAAGACAGATCCCCGGGAACTTCACCAGTTATCTCCTTCCAGCCTGACATTTCGCTTTTCAGTATGACCCATTGTAGTCTCCTATTTAACAAAGTCCTTACCCACATTTCGATTCTCATATCCCATCTTCTCCAATTTAATTTCCCATGTGGAACTGTATCAAATGCCTTACTAAAATCCAGGTAGATTAGATCTACTGCATTTCCTTTGTCTAGAAAATGAGTTATCGTACTAAAAAAAAAAAAAAAAAAAAGGCAGGTTGGTCTGGCACAATCTACTTTTTGTAAAACCATGTTGTATTTTTA